GATGCAAAATACCGGAGGAGATCACCCTAAACGTCTCTGACACACACACGGAGAGGTCTTTACTTTGTAGTTCCTGTTACCATGCACATTTATTTGTGTCTATAAGAAGATTGTGTACATGCAAAGATTAGTGCAGCTGTCCAACTGCTGCTCTGCGTGTCTGGAGAACAATACCTGTGATTGTATTGACTGATGAAGAATGTTCCACCTAGAACCTGCTTCGACATTTATCCCAGACAAAAGCGTAGATAAATCATTATGTAGAGAGAGGTTTAATGGACGGGAAGTCTCAATTTAGCAATTCTTACATTACACAATGGCTTTAGACAATTTGGAAAGATGATCAAATGTCTATGGAAGGAAGGAAGGGTGTAGCCGGATGTCAAAAAGAACTGTCCATGTTATACGAGAGCAACGACTGCATTGTAAAAATAAAAACATCTGCAGTTTAAACTTTACTAGTACCTTCCAGAGTTAACAAAAGTCTGTTTTGTTTATCCCATGTTGTACTAACTAACTGAGCTTTCAACTTAACACATGCTGACACACATGTGCACATCTGGAAAGGTATCACAAACATCTGTATGTCAGACATCTGCTAGCGTGTTGAAAATGGCACATCCTGCATTTAGGCGCGTGCTGAAATAATCTGTTCACATGTTACCTCTTCCCTCCCCTGTCCTCCCCTTAGTGATGGCCTCTGCCGAGCAACCGTGCTCCAGCTCCCACCAGCAGCACTGCGCATAAGGCAACACACCCACCTTTGCCCTCCTGCCCAGAAGTGAGAGAGAGACACCACCATGTACAGTGTGGAGGACCTCCTCATTTCGCACGGATATAAATTGCCCAAGAGCGGCCCTCCGTCTGCCACGCCTTATGACAAGCGCCCTGCTGATTGCCAGCGTGAACTCGTGGACAACCGGGCTGGCCGGGGGACGCTGAACGGGTACGAGGCGGAGCGGGGGCCATCTATCACGGGTATCTATGGCAGCAGGCAGGCGCTGGTGAAGGGCTACCCCGCCACGGACATCGAGAGCGGGGAAAGGATCCTGAGGAGAAAGGAACTTGGAATTGGTATCCTAGGTGACGCTCAGCCCTTGGGTGATTCTCTCGCCACAGATAGTGGGTGAGTGCTTTTTCTTTTCCTTTCCTCCCTTTTTCGATCCCCCACACCCTTTACCTTACCTTTTCTCCCTCTCCCCTCCTTCTCACTGGGGCCCTTTGGTATTGCATGCAAAACTGAGTCTGCACTGCGCAGGGTTTTCTTTCCCCTCCTCTTCCCTTTCCCCTCCTTCCAGAGCTGCAGAACACTGTGGCTGCAGCAGCACCACTGACATCTCTTATGCCGGGATATGAGGAATTATGAAAGGTGCCTTTGCGCTCGTTTAAGTTGTTTACATGCCGGCACACAGAGGTGGCTTGCGTCTCTGTGGAGAACACCCATGCGCTGGTATCGTCTCTACAGCGTCTTCCAGGCAGGCAGATGTAAACAGCAGCACCAGACAGTGAGCAAACTGAGGAGGACTGAACATGCCTCAAGACAGGCGCGTAATCACTCCACTGTAAACACTGGCACACTGAATCACGCCCAGCACGTGCTCTGTGATGTAAGCATGTTGCTGGGCAAGTGTGCACAGCGCGGCTCCCCTCAGCCATACAGTAGCATATGCTGCTGAGGATGATCCATTGACTCTGCTGCTTAAATGAATGAGTACAGTGACTATCACAGTGCAATGCAGATATGAGATGAGGCTCTTAAAGTGGATTGTTATTCCTTTTCAGAACTATTATATTCTTTAGTACTGTATATTTAAGAAACTTATATTTTGGTATATTTAATGGTTATATTTTCTGCAGTAACTGCTTCCTGCAAATCATGGATAGTGTGGCTGTATCATAAATATGAATCTAATAGCTTGGGAAAACACAATGTTTGATTTATTTAATGACGGTTACATTGGGATTTCAACAGGGATTTCAAACTCCCTTTGTTCCATTATAACTGACTGTCATCCGGGTGACTTAAAACCTGCTTTGATATGACAGTTAACCTACAGAAGTGGATATATGGACGGATGGATATATATATTCTTCTACTTCACTCTGCAGTGCCGTTCCACCACAGCAAGACAATAACGGTTCGAGAAAATTCCAAAACAAGAACTACAGCATCATTTAACAAAATTACCCTTTTTTTAAGAAGAAAAGTAGTGTTTTTTAGACTCAATCTGTTATGATTTAGTATGCTATTTCTAAGATAATGGTTTTGGCAATGCAAAGTGCATTACAGCAATATCCTGCACCTCAGAGGTACATTTGGAACCACGACTAAAATGATCTCCAGGCAGCATTGCTTTATCACACTACAGTGGAACCGCTGATTTGAACCGTCACACACTTGCCATTTTATGTTAAATTCAGACGGCATTTTAACAACTAGGTTACTGTTTAGGATATTATATATTCACCTTAGAATGAAAAAGGCCCTCATTTTGTGATTTTTCCCCTCTATGTTTTAATGTGACATAGTGAAGCATACTGCTTGAAGGTTTAATGATTATTGGTTGGTCATACTGTATTTCCTTAAAGGGTACAGTTGGAGTCATATGTATTGGTAATAGGAGGAATCGAGGTTGCTATGGTGTCAGTTTAGGTAATGGGATGTTTTGTTAGATTCTTTTTAAAAGCCAAAGTCGCTGTCCAGATGTCCAGCTCCAGAGAAAAGGTCAGCACAATTTAATATGCAGACCATATTGCAGGAGCATCACAATTTCATGGTTTCTTCGAGGGACTTGGGAGCAGCTGACTTAAGCACTTCTGTCTCATATGTGCTGGCTCTCGTTGATTAAGTTGCGTTGAAAAGCCAATACTGCCAGGACCAAAACACATCATTGTGACTTGAGACCATTATCCAATCTCAAAACGGTGGTATTGTTTTATGATTTTACCTTAAAGCGGAGATAAAAGTAATTTAGATTCATGTTGCTTTTGAAAATATTGTTCATTGCACATAGTGCATTTTTGTTGTTTCTTTTAAACTACCAAACTGTCAATCATATCCAAAATATTATGTTTAAGATAGTTTTCTTTGTTTGTCTCTGTATTAGATATCGTTTATCTTGTAACACCCATAAAAAGGTTCACTGTTTCCTAATGTTATCCTAGATTCAGAGTCTGTGATATTTATTCTCATTCACACTGGACTTTTCTGTCTTTATAGGTTCTACGATGTTCCCAGTTTGACTTATTCAGAGCCGCTGAGCCATGAAGAGAGGGATGTTTCCTACTGGCGGAGGCGAGGCCAGGACTTCAGCATCCTCCTGGACTATGCTGATGGCAGGGAGCTGAGGGCCTCTGCTGGTGCTTGGAGGCCACAGGCCCTGATAGCAGCAGAAGAACACAGAGCCGAGAGGCAGGCGCAGCAGCTATGGGAGGAGATTTCCTGGCTGAGGGACCTGGACGCAGCCCCTGGTCAGCTGAGAGTGACCGGGGAGAGGAAGTGCCAGAGCCTCGGTACAGAGGAGTGGAGGCCTGCTGTGGGCCTGGGAAGGCAGCTGTCAGAGGGGGACGGGGACAGGTGGGCTCATGACCATTACCGCCTGAGGACACCTGAGGGCTTTTTTCACCCCAGAACAAAGGCAAAGTCTCAGTCTCTCCCAAGAGTGTTGTCACCTGATAGAATTGCCAGCAGAGAGCTCATTCCATCCAGACCTAGCCTACCTGACAGACAGAGGATAAGCAGCACTGTCTTCTCTGGGCCCTATAGTAGGTATATCTATAGTGGTGCTGTTGTCAGGGACCGGTGGGGTAGGAATGCTGGGCCAAGCAGCCATGTTGCACTTTTACCAAAGCCCAGGTTCAGCAGGCCTTTAAAGCCTCCGTCATATGAGACTCACCAGCAGAATAGGGGTAGCGCAGAAATGCTTGCTATAGAACAGGGTGCCAAACAAAAAGAGAGGCCTATCTACTATCCAAGGAGTGGGGATCTGAGACAAGACTATTACGCACAACACTCTGCCATCACTGGAATGGAGCCCCCTGGCTACATCCCACCCCCATCTTATAGAAGAGGCCCACCCCCAAGGTCACATTCAATGAACCGCAATGACATGGCAAACCTTAGATGGAGAGCAGAAGCTCTGCAGATGCCCAGCTCAGATCCTGGAAGGTGGTTTTACAGACAGGCAGGTTCATGGCTGGAACATTACAGAGATCGTGCTGCGACCTTTCGTAAACAGCTATATTCTGGACCTGAAGAACAACTAAGTCATGCCAGTCAATTACCCACTGAAGACCCAAGACTGAATCAAATCTCAGGAGGGCCTAGCGGAAGTTCTCTCACCGACTCAGACAAGATCCGTAACATCAACAAAGAGGTTCCTTCCGCTAAGATTTTAGGACAATCTACACATGAAAGTGCCTTTCCTCCCCAACAGGGGTCAGCTCCCAATACCGAAAGCCGCAAAACAGCTCCCAATGACAACGACAGCAGTAATCGATGGTGCAACAGGGGATTAAACAAAAAAAGTGACAGTGTAGGACCTGAACAAAACCGTAGTCAGTTTTTTCCTTCATCTATTTTGGGTAAACCACCACCTCCCCCTTGCAAGCCAGCTGAACAGGTTGTCTCTGAAACTGTGACAGAAGTGAAGAAGGTGGAACAACCTGAGCCACCAGAAAAAGACAAAACCAAGAATCTTAAAAAGAGACTAAGTGAGACCATTTTTTGTTTAGTGTCTGTACCCGTTACCCCGCAGCTTACTGGGACAATCCGTGATCAGAATAACAACAATGAAAAGTCACCAGATCCAGCAGACAGTCCTAGTGACAACAAAACTGGCCATTTAACTAACCAAAGTCTCCAAAGCACATCTTCAGCTGAAGCTGAGCTGCAAGCACTAACTGGTAGCATAGGTAGCAGCAAAACAAGCAGTAGAGCGAGCAGCAAAATGTTTAAAAGAGTACCCTGTAGACCCCCTAAGATAAACCATTACAAGGAGATGAAACTGTCGGGAACCTGGCCTGCAAACCAGTATCGAGACCAGGAGACACAAACTAGCCCAGAGGCCGAAAAACCTGCCCCTGAAAACAACGAAGCACAAAAAGACCCTGTCGCTCCCGACTCTGAAGTCCCTACTGATAGCAGCAGTGCAGTGGGCACTGCGTTCACTTTTCCTATTAAGGGAGTGAAGAGCCTGAAACTGTCGAGCAACAGCGCCTTCTCCCTGACCGCCACCTTCTCCAACCAGCTGAACAAGAGCACAGCTCAGCAGCCAGCAGTACCACCCTCAGGAAATGTGGAGGAGCCCAAACCAGCAGAAAACAGTGGGCAGGAAGCATTCGAACCATTCCTGTTGAAACCCATCGTCCAGCGTCCATGGGATGCTGTCAAAGAGCTGGAGACCATCAAAAAAGAAGTCCAGGATCAACAGCAGCAGCAGAGCAGCAAACAGCCCAGCGTTGATAAGTGCATAGAGGACCTCAACGAGGCCTACAAAGACATCTTGGAGCTAGGCACTGCCAGCAATAAAGTCCCAGATGGTTCTGTTCAAATTCCTGAGCGTATCAAAATCCGGTTGACATCAGAACCTCTCAACAAGCCCAGCAGCCTTAGGCGCAGTGCAGTAAGCTGGTCTGTTGACCCAGAATACAGGGAAGTCAAGAGCGCCTTCTCCAGGCCTGCTACAAAGTCAGTAACCTTCAGCAAGCAGCTTCGGGAGGAGCTCCCCGTCCCTCCCCGGGAGACAGGCTTCAGAGAATACAGGGTTATTACACATCTTTCGCGCAGACGGAGCAACGATGGCAGGACAGTAAAACTAGACCTGCCAGATGAGCCTATTGAGACACCACTTTGTGACTTCAGTCCAATGACAAACACAGCAGCAGCTGAGATGCCATGGGCAGATAGACAGCCCATGCAGGATGCCTCTACGCTCACTAGTCCTCCGGATTATGAGGACATATGCCAGACTTTGCGTCCCTCTAGAGACCCGGCGGATGGCAATAAAGCGTCCGCAGGCAATTTTAAATCTAATGACGCAGAGACTCTTCAAGATCTTAGAGGTGAATCAGAGGAGGAGTGCCCTATTTGTAAAAGAGAACTTGAGAATCAAATGAGACTGGGCCCATTGCCTCCCCTTCACGAGGAGAACAGCTCGGACAGCTCGACCAATCAAAATGGCAGTCCACCACACCGCGCTGCATTAGAGAGTCCGGCAGAGGGTGTTAAAACAGAGGAGCCAAATGATTCAAGTTTAAATCAGTCAGGGTCTGACCTATGTGCTGGAACAAGGGATCAGAATTCAATGACAGAGGAACATGTAGGAGGGGGTGACAAAGGAGACGATGCTCAGGCAGAAAACCAGGAGGATTTGTGTGCAGATAATCCTGTTGAGAGAAAACCAGCAAACGGAGCTACAGAGGAGAGCACATCCACAATATTAGCTACTGATGTGCCACAAGACCCCCAAGTCACAGCGGAACAGAGTGTTAGTGAAACAGTAACTAAGGAAGTAGAATTAGCAGAGAAGGAAGCCAATACAGGAGAAACACCTGAGGGTAGCGCAGACAAACAGACGGAAGAAGTGAAAAGTGAAAGTGAGGGACAAGACAGTGCAATGCCTGATAACAAGCAGGAGCAAGAAAAGAAGCCATTTGCTGGTCCAGAGCATAGACTTGTTTTACGGACTCATTTGGGGCGAGATCACCCCGGGTTACCGGAGTTCCCGCCAGATAGACTGCCACTTTCAGTTCCTCCAAACCTAGACCGCAGGCTGTCTCTTAGCTTGGAGGGGGAACGGAGGAGCAAGGGCCCCGCCCAGCGAATGGAGGCGTTGCAGACCAAGCTGGCTGTTTCTCCAGGTCGCGCGGCAGTGGAGCGCATGGGTTGGATGAGGGAGGTGGACGTCATGTATCGTATGAGGCGGCTCAGCATCAGGAGTACTGACTCTGGGGAGGCGGAGGCAGAAGGGGAGGGCAAGGACGAACCAGAGGAGGAGCCCCAGCCTGGTCCTCAGAGAGACGAGGAGAATGATCAAGATCAAGAGGTCACCCATTCACCGCAGGTCTCTGAGGAGACAGTGTTGCAAGATGAGCAGGAGTCATCTCTCTCAGGTAAGATGAATACATTTGAGGACATTTTACTTTGGGGAACTTGTGAGAATGAATCAGTCGAGTTAAGAGGTCTTGAAAACTTCAGAAATGTACAAGGTTTACATAAAATAAAAATAAAATTATTTCCCATGTGGTTTTTTATCCATACAAACCCAGTAGTTTGAAAAAGAGAAAAGAAAATACCAATGCAATTATTTAAAATATGTGTTCGTTTCACTGTATGCATGCTTCAGGCTGACTGCAGACTTAACCATAAGGGAATGAAATACATCCATTCAAACTAATGTGTCAGTAAAACAAATTGTTTGCGTTGAAAATCAGAATGTTTATTAGAATCAGAATTAGCTTTAATGGCCAAATAACTCTGTGAACAAACATGAATGTGTTTTTGTTGTTGTTCTCAATCTACAAACAAAGCAACAGACAAACAGCCAAGACAAAGCTGCTTGACAAAGGTCAAAAAGAACATTTGACAAATACAAACATTTGACTATTACGTACAGATGAAGATACATATTAAAAATCCCTCTTTCTCTCTTGAAATTACAACAGCATTATGCAGCTTTGCTGTTAAAGACATCTCCACAAGATGGTGTCATTGCCCAAAGACGGTGCAAGTGGCAACCAGTGAATTTGAATCCATTATACATTGAAATGTATGGAACTGAAATAAACAGAATTATGTCAAAAGGGGAATTATTTGCACCTTTCTAATCTTACAGCTGATATGAAATAAAATACAATATTAGGTTTAGATAAAAATATAGTGTTTGTGAATAAATATTGTTCTTCTTTATGTCCCAGAACCCCATGATCCCAGCCGAGCGGAGACAGAGTAGAAAGACTGCGTCCATCATCTTGATCTGAGGTTTTTTAGCTCCAACACTGTGACCTGGCTGCCTACTAGAATGCCTTCATCTCATCTTGACACTGAAATGGCCTTCTTGTCCGACAAGAGCATTGTGTACACCCTCACCCTCGGCGCTGCGTTGACTACTAAGAGTGCTGTTCCACTGCCAAAGGGAGGTGCCCCTTTAACTTGTGGGGCAACTTCCACTACGAATCCCTACCCAGCCTTTCCCAAACTGACTTCCCACTACCCCATCTGTCCTCCATCCCCAAACCCATCCTCTTATAGGGTTTCTACTAGTTAGTCTTCTTGTAGCGGCTTGTCCTTTCTATTCTCTTCTCCCTATGCTTTTCTCATTGGCAGACATTATGCAATTCTGTCGTGCATACTAGAACTTATAAAATGTCCATAGTGAATACAGTTGAGACATTTTTTGCATACTGAACGAATCTTGTTTGTTTACGGGAGAACTATTAAGGATATGAATGTAAGCGTTTATGTTTAATCTAACGTAGACATAGAAGGGTTATTGTCCCAACCTTTTCTGTTGCATTTAAACTACACCAAAATAAACTGCGTATCTGATTGTCGTGGTGAGGCGACAGCTGTTTTAGAACTGGACATCACTGTCTCTGGCTCAAGAACTGTTTTGATTTTAGACGAGATCAGTCAGCCTTTCTTTTCTTAAAATGTGACGACATTGTGCCCTGTCTCATTGCTTTTGTACACACTGCAACCATAACCCATGAAGCTCTTCAATGAAGAGTGACTCTACACCACATGAGATGATAGACCAGTGACCTATTATACATTGAATTGGTTTTAAGCTGGAGGGGGAGAGTTGCCTTCTTTAGATGTGCGGTAGTCCTCTGATCAATCCCATGAATAGCTCCCTTTCCAGGTAATTTCAGGAAGCAATAAAGGCACAGATTGAGTTTAAGTGTTGGTAGGTGAATTTGATAAACTTTAAAGATGGATATAGGGAAATAGAGAAACAAAAAAAGATAGGTAGAGCAATATTGTTGTACAAACAGCTCAGTGGTGTAGTGGAGCTACCTGTAGGACCCATTGTCAGGAGTTTTGATGTGTGTCATTTGAAATCATATTACAGGGATATGGAGTCGTGTCAGGGTATAACAGGGGGTGGGTGCTTTACTTCATGATATATATCTATGTTCATACATCTGTATCGCAAAGAGACAACATTTCACGGAAAAGTTTTTTTTTTTATCATCGAATTGTTAATCAGTTTGCATAATGTACAAAATAAAGTATATTTTAAATATTTTAAGAGATATTTTGTATTTAACCATGACATTTGATTTCTCAACACATATATCAAGATCAAGGTATCATATGTCTGTATAGTATTATACTGAGAGTATACATACTTTTCTAGTGCTTTAAAATCGAAGTGATATGAGAAGGGATGGCCCTGTGGTGTGCCTTGATCACACGATTCGGTTCCAGTGAGCGATAGGGTTCATCATTGACGGTGTTGACGTGATGGAAACTTTTTGAATGTGCCATGATTTCTTATTTGATAGTGCTTTTTCATACGCTAACAGAGTCAATGTCGGACGCTCCTTGTGATATTTAATTCATCAATCCATATCAGCTGTAACTCCTCTGTTGGTGGTCAGACATGACCTGTGTCTTCTTTTTGTCTTTGTATGTCTTCCAATCCAAATCATGTATCGTTCTGTTGTTGGTTCTTCAAAAACAAGTTTAGAAATAAAATTGGGATTTTTTTTATTTTCCTCCCTCCCTTCCTTCTTTCCCTCCTCTCAACTTCCTCCATTATTACGTTTATTCTACAGCGTGTTCATGTTGTGTAAAATGTTCTGCCGTCCCTAACACTTATTGCACTAAAAGGATACAATGCAGTATGCTATTTTTTGGCTAAAACCATACATTTGCAAAAGTATGAAAATCGTTTTTTTTTCTAAATACAGGGTTTTTCAAATGAATTTAAAATCAAAATGTAAAACTTAAAACAATGATTTAAAAAAATATTCTTAATGATAAAAGTTTGCAGTTATGTGGTTTTTCCTACAACAGCAGTGCTGCATTGGTGTAACGTATCAACAGATTTGTAGTAAACCATCACTGTTTAATCACTCACCGAGTACCACTTAATTGTTATGTAGCATTTTACAGTTGTAGCATTTTATCAACTCAGAACTTTGTCTTAGTATTTCAAACATTTCTTGTAAATTTGGAATAATCATGTCGCCTTATTATGTGTGCATTACATTATACTCCAGGCAATGCCAAATATTAACCTACTAAGCACTGTTTCATACCTTAGGTTTTTACACACAACTTGCTGTTCTGCCATCCCTCTGGTGGGAGAGGTACGGTAGCATTGAGGATAGTTTCTGCTCTTCATGGCGTTAATCTGAAGGGAACATTGAATCAAAACTGTGATCTTCAAATAACTCAAAAAGCATAATTTAAAAAAAAGTACAGGATAAGATTCAGTGTTTCAAGACAGGCTTAAAGTCAGCATCACAGGGAGGAAAAGCTGACACGCCCATAATTACGGTCACATCTCATTTTCAATTCATTTTGAAGACTGAAAGGCTTTGCCCCGGTCTTGTGTGTAAACTGCCCCTAATGACATTTAAATACCTATTTCAGTACATACGCCCCCCCAAATAATTGGCATGTCAGGTACACTTGAACAGTGTCATTTGACTTTTTGTACTGCAGGTTATGTGCAACATGAAGTAATTATGCACACTTGTAATATTTTCTATTTTCATATGAGATTTAAGTGCTTTTTGTACTCACTGACATCTTTTTTTCTTCCTTGCATGAAATGCAAGAGAAAGGAGGAAAAAAAATGTTTTTCACAAAGTATATTTGCATTTGGTACTCCAATAGTAAATACAGTGGGCAAACATTATGTTTCATAATTTAATTTACAAAACTATGCCAAGTATTTAAAAGCTATTTTTAGAGTAAATCAGAAGAGAACTCATTCATTTTTTTTCATTTTAAGACATGCCTTTATCTTTGTATCTATAAATATGAGCATAATCCATAGTCATATGATTGTGCTACTGTTGTATGATACTGCAGTCTGATTCATAAATAAACTCTTTGCAATGAAATGTGTGTTTTGTGATCAATTCCCTAGGGGCCAATTACAGGGTTTGTTCGATGCACTGTGTAAGGTTGACATATCAACAGGGGGAAATTATATTTGTGTTTTCCTGCAAAATAGTTTCGAAAAATGCAACTCCCCCTCTGCATAATGCACATTATTCTAGGGGAAAAGACACAAGAAAGCAAGACAAACATCAGCACTAGTCACCGTGTATGTGCGCAGCTATGAGTGTGTTTTCACACATGTACATTTGTGTACTGGCAATATCAGCCCAATTACCCTGCCAGACTGTCACACTGAGCTCCATTTGCTCGATCAAAGCGTTGGCAAAGACAATACTTGAGCTGAACCTTGTAAAAACCTCCCAGCATGCTCTCTGAGGCTTGGACGGCATCCATCCTCAGACGCTGTTTAAATGTCTCTATGTGCCATCTTTTTCTAAAAGGAGAGTAAGAAGTCTGATTAGCACTTCCTTTGATGTGATACTTTATTGATCCCTATATAGGCAAGCTTTCTTTTCACTAACATCCCAATGCTTTGCTCTGAGGCATGTTGGCAAGAGCTAGAGACAGCAGGGTGGCTAACACAGAGAAGGGATTATATACAGGGATAACATTAAAGGTTGTCGCACAATGTAGGCTACTGTATGCATCTGTGTAAGTGCAGATATTTAAGGAACAGTATTGATCAAATTCAGGTCTATTTAATAAAGAAAGGAATGTATATTTTCAGATGAATTCACATATAATACAAAATCAACTTAGGGCAATGACCTTTGTATTAGTTAAGACAGTTGATTCAACATTGATAACTGGCTCCTAACCACAGGTCATTAAAGCTGTAAACAGTGGTTTAATGTAACTACGTAAATAAATATACTACTTCTACTCCACTACATCTTAGAGTTTGTCCAATGACAACTGTGTATTTCCAGATGTGTGGATTTAGATTTTTTTGTAAAACGTAAGGATACATTATTCTTATAGTTTGAGAAAATGATTGTACTTTTTAAGCCAAATAAACCATTACAAAAAAACACACAAAGCATCCACAAAAAGCTAAAAACAGGTCTGTTTTTCTGAACTTAATAAAACTTGACTTTTCTTTTTAACACTGTTTTGTTTCAGAGTCACTGCAGCAGCCCCTAGTGACAGTAAGTGAACAGTTGCTTCAGTATTTCAATTCAATTATCTTTATTGGAATGACTATAATGAAATACAGTATTGCCAAAGCGTTTTACAATTACGACATTTATACATACATATTTGGAATGTACTGTAATGTTCATAAACAACTTGAACAGAAGCAGGAATGTTATTAGTCGAATGGTCTCTGTAGCTGCTTTTAGCTACAAAACCAAGTAAGTGTGTTGCCGAACTTAGCGGAGAAATGCAGAAAAGTTAAATGAGTTGAATACAGGCCGCAACTACAATAAGCATGTTCTAATCTAACCGCTCCCCCCCCGCCCCGTGGTGGTTTTGAAATGCTCCCGATTTCTGAGGTCTCAAGGTTGTATGGGTACCGCTGGGGAGGGCACTCTCCTGTTGATGTTGGCTGACTATTGAGTAGGTGGCAGATGTGCAGACTGGGATCACAGCAACTGGCCTCTGCTGCTGCTGCAACTGGAATGCTGACAGGACATCTACGAAGGGACTGATCTGGTCACCAGCCGCTTCCCTCATCCTGAACTGTCTGGACATCTTCTGGTAACTGGAAAGACAAAAACAAACAGTTTAGGATTAATACAAGCTCAAATTTAGCATGCAATAAAATGTGTGACATCAAATAAATGAATTACAAATGTATGCACTATGCAATGTTATATACTTACTGGTTAAGAACTGTGGTGATCTCCTCATACGCAGGTTCCAGGCAGGCATCATGCAGACGATCCAGTTCAGTTTCCAGGTACTTGCAGAAAGGAGTGGCCCTGTTGACTTGCTGCTCTCGAGTGATGAACTGAACCAGCCTATCTTGGAGATCACGGGATGATGCTCCGGTAACTCTCATCTCCATGGTAGGAGACTCGGGTTGGTCCTCAGCAGCTGTTCCTGTCCTGGAAGGAGGTCTCGGTGTAGGGTAGCCAGTGTACTTCTTGGTGGGCTCCCTGGGTTCGTCTGCAAGACTGCCTGCCATGGTACTGTCGTCACTCCCAGCCAGCTCACCCGTCTCAGCCAAGGCCAACTTGTCCTTAAACTGCAAAGACAAAAATAGAAAACAAACATAAGTACATTTGAAAGTCATATTTGGAAACAAAAATGTGGGAAATTGAAAATGTTCGACAAAGTTCAGTTTGAATTTAATTTCAATGATATACTCACACTAGCTGGTGTATCCTTCTTGTGACGTTTGATGTGTTTCTTCAGAAACCCAAAGACCTGGCGGATGAACTTGTCACGGTCACTGTCATTCTCACTGGCCTGCTCAGCAAGGATGGGGTCTTCCTCGTCACCACTCGACAGACCATCACCGGACCTCTTCTGGGATTTCTTCTTGGGTTGGCCCTCCGGCAGCTTCGAGAATCGAGTCCTCTGTGTGTGGTACCATTTCAGAATTGAATGATCTGCAATGACAGAAGTCAAAACAAATAATTAGTACAATCATTGAAATGTTCATTGACAGTAATGTATGTCAAGAATCTGAAATAGATTTCAAATATTTCAAAGTAATTGAAATGTAACCTTTTTTTATACTTACAATCCAACCCGTACTCCGCAGCCTTTCCCTCCCATAGGTGCCTCCTTAATGCCTTGTCTTTGTACAGTTTGTCCTTCATGTTATACAGTAGCTTGTTACTCTCCACCCAGTGAGCGATTGCCTCCCCCTGCGCCTCTGTGAAGCTGTATGATGCACCAGGGGGTGGGTTCTCCTTCTGGGCCTTGCCTTTCCCTTTGTCGCCCATGCCCACTTTAGGCTTGGACTTGCCTGCAGGGAGGGCGGGGGAGGCTGACTTATCTGAAAAGATACCAAATGGAAACAAAATTAAGTACATGCAGGACAACAATGTATGGGAATATATAACAAAATCAATTACCCCTCTTCAGGGGCACGGGAAGGGGGGTGCTGAGGGCGCTGCAGCACCCCCTAGCGGCAGGCAGGCGGTGCGGAGCTCCCCCGTCTGCACATTTATTTTATATATTTATTTCATTTCATTGTGCCTGAGATTATATTTTCTATTATATATTATTATTCAAATGATAATTTTAAACTATATAATAAATTATTTTGCTTCAGGGAAGAAAAATAAAAAAGATGTGGAAAAAGTGTGTTAGTTTTAGTCGGCTACTTTTAACGTGACGCACAACACCACAAGTAGGCTAACTGACATGGCGCAAAAACGTATCTCGGAATTCTTTCTCTCTAAAAACGCAAAATCTGCTAAATCATGTGCATAATCTGTATACTGGTCAATATCATGTTTATGGTATTAGAATGATTATTTTATGGTAATTGCTGCCAGGGGCGGCAGGTACTATAGGCTAGGGAAGGCGAAGCCTTCACAAATATTTGTGTCACTGCATCCTGGTAAAAATAAAATATAATCTATAATGTTTGTGTCTTTGACATTAGCGCTGCTATGCAGCCACCTGTGCCCTGTACTACGAAGCCAGTTCAACATACCCTCGATATGTTTGAGTTATCTTAAACTAACCCTAACAAACGAGATCTCGCTAAGCGGTCCTACGACGCTGGTTATCAACTCGGTAAATCAAGCCAAGGTTTCTCTCTCCAGCTGAGAGCGCGTTCACGTGAAAGGGGCGGGGATAGCAACATTTGACCAATCACAACAGGGGACAAGTGTACTGACAGCGCAGCGTCATACTTCATTAATGAAAAGTAAACTAATATTAGACAAATATGAACTTTAAACATCCATGACTTAAAGGTAGGGTAGGTAAGTTTGAGAAACCAGCTCGAGATCGCTAGAATTTGAAAATACACAACCGGAGAAAAATCTACCACTTCCTTATACAGCCCCTCCTCCAAACACACACAAATGCGCACATGACCAATGTGCGCGCCGGGTTAAGTTTGTGCACAGATGGAAGGCTGACAGGCAGGTAGGCCATCCAGTTATTTTAGCCGGGCCGGCTAAAATGATTGGTCGTACTTTTTACAGTATTACGGCTTCCACAGATGACATTTTTTTATGGATTGTTGTCAAAGCACTTCAGATATTCATTGCTATCGGGATGTTAAGAGCATTCCATGGAATATAACAAAAAGTGTATCTCGAGCCGGTTTCTCAAACTTACCTAGTAGTTTCGGATACACACCGGTGGTTTCTGACTTGGCTCGTTGTCAGCCGGTAACCAGCTGTCCAGATATTTAGAGGGGAAAAAGGATGAAGACGATGCGTTCGGGTGCCGTGGGAAGAACCTCCGTTTATTCACGTTCTTCAATTACATTGACACTGTATTGAATACATACAAACTAGACACTATTCCTTTTCTGACCACTTTCTCTATACTTTCGTCTCTCTCTTCATACCTCCGCACTTCGCCATGGCCATCACATTTTACACACACCAGACTTCCAAAAACCCACAACCCCTTGCGGCTGCTACTCTTAAAGTGACAGGCCAAGCCTGTAACAATACACTTCATTCTTTACTTTGTCCGTTATTATAGATTATAAAACGGACAAGTCAAATCAAGCAATTTGATTGGTTCTTAGCCGTGGTATACTGAGCGTATACCACGGGTAGAATTGTAAGTTACTTTTCACAACAAGTCAGTATCCCTCCGCGTCTGAGATAAACAGTATACAGTTGGGCTGAAAAGTAAACTGCCTGCAGTTTGCTTTTCAAACTGGAACAAGAAAGCAGCGGAGAAGTAACGGGGCAGAAACCCTCCTTTTTACGCAGCGGTCCAGACAGACATCAAACGGCAAAAACATATTCAGTGTGCAGTTCCTTGGCAATTAGGGCAGGGATTATTTAGATACTTTCCAAGGTTGACATAATGAATTGTGCTACTTTTAAAGCAAGCAGCGATGTTTCAAATCTGTAATCAAAAGGTCCGCAAAAACATTTAAGATTAACTTCGCCCTCCGGGGGGGGGGGGGGTCCTTACTATGGAGGGAGTGGATTGAGGAGTGCCTATCTCCAGAACAAAAAGCACCTAAACGACGACATGTAGAGCTACGTGAAGAGCAGGTAGACCAACTGGAAAAGTATCACCATTCAAAAAGCTTTCTGATGCGGGTCTTGAAACAAAGCAGAGAAATGATGACCGTTAGTGGCCACAGGTGCGAAAGCTCTCTCCAGAGCTACTGGAAGCCGAATCTCGGGGACCGGAGAAAGTGGAGCAATATTCTCGCCACGCCAAGCAACAGCCTAGAACAACCTCAACCTATACAAGTAACCACATAAGCCATGCTACTGATGCTGGACAGTTTTTCAGTGGGTGCACAAATAAACGGCAACATACAAATTAATGTAAATAAATAGCCAAATAATGGATCAACGCTCTCTGTTCGCTTGCTGTTGTTAGTGTTGTTGCATAGCAACCACCCTCGCACTATGTTTTGTGCAGAAGGCTTCGCGTCGGGCCGAACCACGCCCCTTAACTGTGACATAATGGCCATATACCACGGCCTGTCGTGAGCTATTGCTTAAAGATATTACTTTTTTCTCCGTCATGTGTTGTTTCCATAGCAACAACTTCAAAATAAATAAATCTAAATAGATGTGTGTTCTACACACCAAAATACGTTATTTGAACACCCCTCCCGATCGATTTACAAAAAAAAATAAAATAGTATGGCCCGCCCTAATACACCAACGCAGTTTTTAAAGATATACATTTTTTCAACACAGAATCATTTACCAAATTACACCATATCCAATCATTTTACTGTTCATTGCAGTTATTGTTTATTGAATTAGATTACCATGAGCTCAACATAATTATGTAGAGTACAAGTCCACAGCCAAGAACATGTTATTTGCATATCATTTTATTTATGAATATGGAATTATGGAATTCTAACACTGGAGTTTGTTATTATTTACTATAACTTTATTATAGTATCCGGGTACAGCCCTACTGTACCCGAATATCCGTTTCGTTGGAGTACTATTTCGGGTTTCAATTTCGTTATTCGGATATTCGTTTTGTTTGTTTTTTAGTTTTTTTCCCGTTTTTTTTCAAATTGAATTTATTGAAATCTCCAATATCAACGTAAGAGCTTGTGCCTCTTCGGGAAAACCAAGCCAAATTACACTTAAGACGTATACAACTGCAACGAAAGTAACAACCACAATGCGATATCCTTGCGATAACCATGCGATTACCGTACAGCCAATCACATGCGTGACGTCATTGGGTAAGCGACGGACCCCGAACACATAAGGTAGGCCGAACACATATGGTACTGACACCGGCTGCGATCGGCTATTCTCGTCTACTTTCGAGGCGAGCCGCAGCTCGTCTCAAACAAGCCTGATCTCTTTTCTATAGAGTGGCGAAGTCCCCTCCCCTTCCGGTGGACCTCCATGGGACCTTATTTCGGAAAAATTATGTATTGAAGTCAATGGAGAGAGAAAGATTATCTTTCGATCCCGTTTGAATTGTGCCACGAATTACACATATGATGTTTGTCAATTTTAAAAGATAATTTTGCAAGTCAAAAAAAAAAAAAATGTGTCGTAAAACTGTGAAGTAAACACATTTGTTTGTGTGAAACGCTCAATGAACTACATCTCTGGTCAACAACACACGTCACCAAGATGGCCGTCACTACTGTCTTGTCAACAAAACGATTGACTACCCTCACTATCACCAACAATGAAACACGTCCTGAAGAATGTCATGCAAAGCTGCCTGGCCTGCCTTCCTTTGATTCTCTCTGAACTGCCTGGTCTTTTTAATGTTTAATGTCAACCATTTGTGCAGATAGCATGAAGTAGAGAAGATCGCTAGCGTTAGCGTTAGCATTACTCCCCCCGGGCTTAAATGGTGTATTATAGAATGATCACACCGGTGACAGTACTCTTCAAAGGGTTCACCAAATATGACTACTACTCTTACTGTTTAACATTGTGGGTTACTTAATGTTACTTCATGTTAAGGCTAATAAAAATGACAAGGCTGTAATGCTAACTAACGTGCTAGCTAGCTACTAGCTATTGAGTGGCGAAGTCACGCCCACCTACTTCCGGGTAATGGGACCTTATTTCGGAAAAATTATGCATTGAAGTCAATGGGGAGAGAAAACTTATCTTTCGATCCCGTTTGAATGTGCCATGAATTACACATATGATGTTGTCAATCTTAAAAAATAATTTCCATGTCAAAAAAGTCACAGTTTGTCGTAAAACTGTTGAAATATAAGACTATGAAAAATACATAACTAGAAAGACTACAAATCCCAGAGTCGCGTAAGTGATGTCACAATTGTTTTCCTCCACCATTCAGATACCTAAGATCAGCGCAATATAGATAGATTATATCTATATTGCGCTGGCTAAGATAAGATAACTTTAACAAGATGCCTGTGTGCTTAGTACCAGGTTGTTATTATACCAGCAATGGGTCTTGCTCGTTCTTTTTGCTTCCCGTCTGATGAAAGGACCAGGGGTGGCTTGATCAAGTTAGCTACCTAGCTAGTAGCTAGCACGTTAGTTAGCATTACAGCCTTGTCATTTTTATTAGCCTTAACATGAAGTAACATTAAGTAACCCAAAATGTTAAACAGTAAGAGTAGTAGTCATATTTCGTGAACCCTTTGAATAGTACTGTCACCGGTGTGATCATTCTATAATACACCATTTAAGCCCGGGGGGAGAAATGCTAACGCTAACGTTAGCATCGGCGATCTTCTCTACTTCATGCTATCTGCACAAATGGTTGACATTAAACATTAAAACGAACATGCAGTTCAGAGAGAATCAAAGGAAGGCAGGCAGGCAGCTTTGCATGACATTCTTCAGGACGTGTTTCATTGTGGTGATAGTGAGGATAGTCAATCGTTTTGTTGAGTGACGGCCATCTTGGTGACGTGTGTTGTTGACCAGAGATGTAGTTCATTGAGCGTTTCACACAAACAAATGTGTTACTTCACAGTTTTACGACATTTTTTTTTTTTTGACTTGCAAAATCATCTTTTAAATTGACAAACATCATATGTGTAATTCGTGGCACAATTCAAACGGGATCGAAAGATAATCTTTCTCTCTCCATTGACTTCAATACATAATTTTTCCGAAATAAGGTCCCATGGAGGTCCACCGGAAGGGGAGGGACTTCGCCACTCTATAGACGGCCGGAGGCGGGCAGGCGTCAGGTAAAAAAAAAGTTATTTAGTCTTCCCAAACCTGAGCCTCACGCGCCGCCTATGATAGCTGCTGCAGCCGTGCATAATCTGTGTAATATGTAGCCAATAAATTCCACATTGTTGGTAAAATAATATTTACATCTTTGTAGTGTGTGTGCTCGCGTTTTTGTGCGTGCTCTATAGTTGTGTGTGTGTGGTTTTGACCCCTCCCCCCCGTTGGTGCGTAATTAGCACACAATACCTTCCGCGCCCTCTGCCCCTCTTGCCCGCCCCATCCATACCAAAAATAAGTTCGAAATATTTACCTTCATCATCCGAAGATTCGGGATGTCTGTTACGAGGAGGAGGGGGGAGAAGGTGATTGCCTGCCGGAGGCTCTTGGGAGACTGCTGAGGAGACCTGGGACCCTCTGGGGACCGCTTTGGAGTTTTAGTTGGACAAGGACCGACATATTTCTTGCATTTCCTCCTCTTTTCTCTCTTGGTTGGAGACTCAGTGCTGTGTTCTTGGACCTCTAAATCCTCAGTTTCCTCTGGTTTCCTCTTCTGAGTGTATTTACCAGGCCAGCTTCTTCTTCCATCTGCCTCTCCCTGCCTTGGGTGGCATGTTAAAAGTATAATTCAAGTATAATTTACCGTGTGTTCTGCTCCCAATAATCTCCGATCAAGAATTGAATTTCCCACGCGGACCGAAGCTTTTATACCATCGGGAGGTCACGTGACGCCTTCGTGTGTGGTTGCGGGACGCCATCGTGTGGCCTTCTGTGTAGGCATCGTACTTGCTTCGGGCTGTTGCTTCGGCTGTTGCTTGGCCGTTTACCAAGTTCGGGGCCATCTTCGTGCGAAATTCACAATTCCATATTCGTGTATCCATCTGGTGTCAATTTCGGGTACAGTGGTGACAGGGGCTTTAGAGAACTGAGAAAATCCTCTCCTCTGAGCGGTCATTTTAAAAGAGACGTCCATTAATGATGACAGGAGGGCAACAGCCCTCTGTATGGCAGGAATGTGTTCATGATGACTTATATATTTACTTGTATTCATTCACAGTGCGGTATAATGGAGACAATAAACAGGCTACAGATGCGGACATATACACACACAACACCACACACACACACACACCACACACCACACACCACACACACACACACACCACACACACACTACACACACACACCACACACACACACACACACACATATATATAAC